GTCTTTGCTCAGTGTCCTCCTGACTGGAGTAGCCTTACCTCTTTCTCCTTCTTCCTTTGCATTCCTGTCCATTCTGAGCCTTTTGTATCAGCTGACATGCAAGACTTGTAGTAAAATGTGTGGGATCCCTAATATCTACTATAAATATTAGTCCTTCTAGAGTTAGAAACCATGACTGATGACCTGTGGATTTGTGTAAAATTCCAGCCTGTCATTACCACCTTCTTCAATCATTGCTATAATGTGGAAAAGCAGAGGCTTCCAAAATATTGGTAGCAACATCTACATAATGATGTCATTACTTACAAGAGCGAAGTGGATGGGTGGATTAATCTAGGTCTCAGATGCAGTGCTGTCTGAAGGCATAGTTGGAAAATCACAGAGTGAGCATCAGTAATGCATCGCATAAGAACAATCAGATCAACTCAACTACTTACGCTGATGCTCAGAGAAGAAGAACAAAACTCAAGCAATCCTGCCATCAGTCACATGACCCATTCTTTCTGATCATGCTTGCAAGGTCCACTGGAATAGTATTAGTAGACTCGTTCATCCTCAAGCACTGCGCATCTTTTATATCAGACAGCTTTATTCTCAGGAACTTTCTAACCGACATGTAATGGGCCAGATTTTGGAATTTGTCTATGTATGGGAAGGTGTGGTGTAGAGTGTTAAGGCTTCATGGCTTGGATTTGAATCCTGGCCCTGGCATAGACAACTTTTGTTATTCGGTACAAGTTACTAAGCCCCAGGTCTCAGTTTCAAAATTGGTAAAATAAGAGTATTTTCTTCATTGGACTGCTATGCAATTTAATACAATTCGAAAAGCTCCTGAGCATAGTGTCTGGTATGTGGTAAATACTCAGTAGATGTTAGCTCTAGCGATAATGGTGATAACGCAGAAGGTATGCCGAAATGAGATGTCGGGTGGGAGCACATCGCGGCTGCTGGCGGAGTCAGTGTGGTCGTTTTGGGGTCCCAGTGCTTTTCTCCTTTCCTCTGTTAGTGGAAGCTAATGGCAGGTTGCTCTGCCTTCTCATCTCGCCTGAACAACAAGGAGGCTTTTCTTTCTGAGTGTGGCACTCACCGCATCCAGTAGATGTTCATTGATTGCCCACTTTGAGCCTGGCCCTGTGCTGTGGCCTGGAAGTGAACAGCCCTTCCCTGAGCACCTTATGACCTAGTGAAGGAGACATACACATAAGCCCATAATTTTACTGTCATATACTAAGCGTGAAGAGAAATCACATTTATTTAAGATAAAAACTCAGCTATGGTGGCAGAATTGAATTTAAAAAAATTAAAAGGGTTTGCAGATTATATCCACTGTGCATAGTCCATTTGAACAAGCTCAATCCTGGATTATTAACATGAGAGTCACTGAATGATCATATTGCTTCATGTGAACTACAGAGGTGAAAACAGTTTTGGTGCTCTGGATACCTGGTACCAAAGGCCGAGATGACCTGGCAGGCTTCGGGTGACTTTGTGGGTGAAATCAGGAAATGGGGATAGGTAGAAGTTTTATTCAAATTATTATGTGGGCTTGAAATTTGGGACCCCCTGGAAGATAACCCTGCAGCTTTGGCATATGAAACAAGAATAAATATCAGCCACGTGTGGCATAAAATAGAAAGACCAATAATTCAGCGAGTATCTAAGTCACTGAATCTGTTAGTAGAAATAAAGAATAAGCTATAAACCCGATGGGAAAGGTTTTATTGGAAGAAACATTTCTAGCTTTGTGATAGATTAGAGAGATCAAGGGCTAGGAATGTATTTGGATTCAAATGCTGGTTCTTCCACTTACCGGATACGTGAATTAAATAAGCAGCAACTTTGTTTACTTCTATGTAACATGGGGGTGATGGTAGCATTCATAGATTCCTGTGGGAATTCAGATCTATACAAGGGCAGGATTGTTGCTCAACACTGTAGTTGTCTCTCTTGAAAAATAGGAATACTGAAGACGAACAGCTGTCTCCAAAATTTTTTGAATGTTCTAAATCAGTTTGGGCGTGTGGGCATTACATAGCCCACAAAACAACATTCTAAAGTTAAAAATAGCAATAGTAAAATAAGTATATGCTAACCCTCCACAAAGCATTTATTAAAAAAACAATCAAGGCCTTATATATTCAATGTTCTAAATCCTGCCGACTTGCTTGAGTGTGGGTGGGGGGAAGGGAGGCGGTGGGCAGTCAAGCCAGAATTGCCCACTTGTAAGAGAAGCAACATAGAAACCTGTTAACTTTTTCTTTTTCTTTTCTTTTTTTTTTTTAGGGAGAGAGAGAGAGTGCACTTGGGGAAGGGGGGCAGAGGGAGAGAGAATCTTAAGCAGACTCTGGGCTGACCGCACATTTCAACCGGAGCTGGGGTGGGGGGTGGGAGAGCTGGGAGGGGGCTCGATCTCACCACTCTGAGATCTTGACCTGAGCTGAAATCAAGAGTCAGGCACTTAACCACCCAGGCACCCTGAAACCTGTTAACTTCTTAAATGATACTCCTATCCTATCTGATAGGCATCTAGAAATGATTCCTTGCTTCGACTCATTGCCCTTGAGGTGATTTCTATGTATTCTGTTGTGGTAGTGGTCTTTAGACATTTCTAAAAATGTTGCATGAAACCAAATTGACAACCCATTCTGGCATCCTTGTATACTGAATATCATGAAAATGCATGATGCTCATTTTTGTTCTTCACCACTTTACTGTCTTTGGCTTGAGAACGAACTACTGCTGTATTAGGTGATGAACCTCACATTAGGAAAAAAAATCTTTCTAAAGTCACCATTCCTGAGCTATCTGAGCTACAGCCCCTGGGGACAGGTATTTCAGAGTATTCACAAAGATCACAAGGGACTTGAAATTGCTTAGAAGGTTTATGAATCCAAGGCACAGCGACTCTTCATTTTGCTGAGTTACACTGCCCATCCTTTGTGTGTTTACATTGCTTTTCTAAAATAGTGACAACAAGTCTTCATTAACTTAGATTGTGGGTTTAATTGATATTCACCACCCTAGACTATTGAACAGGGACTTGGGAGCCTTGGAGCCCATTCTCAGGTCTTCCATTGGCTTAGAGTTACTTCAGGCTTGTGGCTTGATCTTTGTGCTTTTAGCCATGTGTAAAATGAGAATATTTATCAATGGGAAATTTATCAGTTTTTCAAAGTGCTTGGGATTAGTGAAGAGTTCTTTCACTTACATATTTCTTCCCTGGGTTGTAGAAGTATACACTGTAGAGTTAATATAATCATCTCTAGAGAAGAATATGTCTGCAGAAGCAGTCAAAGGATGACATCCCTGGGGCTGGGCCCTGGGTCTGCCTTCTAAGGCAAGGAAAATTCCTGGAGTTGACTGGGCTGGCTGACTTCAGAAGCTCAGATCAGAGCTCTCCTGCTGGCTGACTTTGGGCAAGTTACATAATCTGTGTGAGCCTCAGTTCCCTCCCTGTGAAATAAAATGATGGGAATGATGATGATAGTATTTCAGAGGGTTGTTATGGTGAAAATGCGATAATGATTCACATAGACATCCAACACAGAACCTGGATGTCACATGCTGTAGGCTATGTAAGGGTCCTTTTTTCCCCTCCTAGTTCTAAACAAATTGAGAAAGAAGAAAAAAGAATTGGCAGATTTCAATGCAATTACCACTCTTATTGTTATTTTTTAAATCTCAGCTTTTATTCAGCTTTGTGGCTGCAAACAAAGAAATATAGCTTCGTCTGAGTACCAAATGGGTTCACCAAAACTGAATGTCAGAATTGGATAGACTTAATAACAACCAGTCACAGGCTTGGTGGACTTCACGCAGGCTTGTGTTCTTGGTAGGAAGGCTGGCTTCCAAAGAGGAAAGAGGAGCTGAGCAAGACTTTGGAGGTGGGTCTGGACATCAGCATTTTAAAAAAGCTCTGTACTCTGAATGCACATCCAGGTTAGGACCCACAGCTGGAGGCATATTATGTATTTTGCAATGCCTCTGTGCCTTTCCAAATGCCAAGACTGAGCATTCTTCCCTTTTTCACTGGGGAAAAAAAATTCCTACTAATCCTTCAACCCTGAACTTGAGTATGTCCTTCTCTGTGAAATCTTCCTCTTTTCCTCACTTCACACAAGCAGAATTGTCCAATTGCTCCTGCATGTAAGCAACTACTGTACCCTAGATTTAGCTATTTCCTAAAACATAGTCTATGTTGAGGCTACTTGACGATTGGACTATGAACATTTTTATAAAAGTCCATTCACAATGTACAGAAGATGGTCTGAGAGTATACCCACCAAATTATTAGGGGATCCTAACTCTGAGGAGAAGGATATGGGCAGAAGAGGATGTTTATATTTTGTTAATATGTGCTCAGTTTACTCCTACATTGCTTTCATTTTTTTTTTTTTTTAAGATTTTATTTATTTATTTGACACAGAGAGAGAGACAGCGAGAGAGGGAACACAAGCAGGGGGAGAGGAGAGGGAGAAGCAGGCCTTCCGCCGAGCAGGGAGCCCATGTGGGACTTCATCCCAGGACCCTGGGATCATGACCTGAGCCGAAGGCAGCCGCTTAACCGACTGAGCCACCCAGGCGCCCCCATTGCTTTCATTTTTAAGTGACTCTCTATTATGATTGTAACCTAAAAATAGTTATTTAAAAGAGGAAAAGTATTGTGTTGCTTTTTTGCTCTGCATTTCCTCTGGAGGTGACCTCTACAGGTCATCTCAGTCATCACCCCGATTTTGGACAGTGTTTGCATTTCCCTTCTGCCCCTGCTCTTTTGTTCTCCTTCTACCCCGCATCTCCATGTGGTCAGAGGTATGACTGGATGGCGTTGAAAGACAATATTTACTTTTCTCGATCTCAGACTTGTCTTGGTGCCATAAGTAGGTGCCGGTAGCATCTTTTCTAAATACCTCTTTCTTGAGCTGTTATAAATCTGAACAGATAAAGGTGGAGGAAGACTATTTGGTTTTCTGCTCTCACCCTATGTATCTTTTCTTCTACAGGTCAACAACGGAATTGAAGTTTTGAAGGATGGGTAAAGACTTTCGTTATTATTTCCAGCATCCCTGGTCTCGCATGATTGTGGCTTACTTGGTGATCTTCTTTAACTTCTTAATATTTGCGGAGGACCCAGTTTCTCATAGCCAAACAGAAGCCAATGTTATTGTTGTTGGAAACTGTTTTTCGTTTGTAACAAATAAATACCCTAGAGGAGTTGGCTGGAGGATTCTGAAGGTGCTTCTATGGCTACTGGCCATTCTCATAGGACTAATAGCTGGCAAATTTCTGTTCCATCAACGTTTGTTTGGTAAGTACCCATGAAATGTAATGTTGATAATTATTGAACTCTGTTCTTTAAGATAGAGCTCTGTTATTTCTAAATGCCAATTTAGGATGCATTTTAGTTTGCCCTCTAGCCTTAATTTGCATTGCACTGTTGGAGCTAGGTTCTTCCGCTAGTCTCTGTTCAATGGTGTACTTTTCTATGGCCTAAGGAAAATTATGAGGTAAAATTAGTACTAAACTTATTTTCAAAAAATGGCTTTAGACCTAAAATTAATGTGTGTGTAATCTTATTTAGAGAAGACCTGAAAATAGCTCTTTTCCCTATATTATCATAAAGAGTTTGCCTTCATGTCACACCATATTTTCATTAAAGTAACTTAACCATGGTTCATATATTTACATATGTTGTTCATTCTGGGAATTAGAGTGGTAACTCTGACTTTTTACCCTCTTTTTTTTTGAACAATGGCTTTAGGATGTTTATTTTGAGCCTGTTCAACCACAGAACGATTAGTGCAGAATCCGTTGGTAGTATGCAATAGACAAAGACACTATTAGTTTAAGCTAAAAAAGGTAATTTACTAGGATACTGGGATATTTCATAGAGACCAAGGATAGAATTCATTCTGATAATTGGGATAAATGGAACCTGGGACTTGAATTCTATCAGGATCTTCTTTGTCCCAGTTTCTCTAACGTATCTGTTTTATTCTCTGTTCACACTGAAGATCAGTTTACATCTGCTCAGAGAGACTGGCTTGACTCTCTTGGTCCCAAAGTTTAGACTCTCGGAAAAGAGACTGATGTTGACCCAGGTTGAGTGTGTTTTCCACCTTTCGCCTAATTGATTTTGTCAGGACATGGGTGATATTTACCCAACAAATATTCATTGATCACTTATTATATGCCAGGAACTATTCTAGAGAGTGAATCAAAAACCAGGGTCTAGGGATGCCTGGGTGATTCAGTTGGTTAAGTGTCTGCCTTCGGCTCAGGTCAAGATCCCGGGGTCCTAGGATCCAGTCCGCATCAGGCTCCTTGCTCAGCGGGGAGCCTGCTTCTCCCTCTGCCTGCTGCTCCCCCTGCTTGTGCTCTCTTTCTCTCTCTCTGACAAATAAATAAACCTTAAAAAAAAAGTCCTTTAGGCCGCTGCGACCAAGATGGCCAGGAGACTCGCCACCTTCCTCAAGGATGCCTGGGCTAAGGAGCCGGTGCTTGTCGTGTCCTTCACCATAGGGGGCCTCACTCTAATTCTGCCCACCCTCAGCCCCTTCACCAAATACGCCACCATGATCAACCAGGCCACGCCCTACAACTATCCAGTGCCCCTCCAAGATGATGGGAACATGGCTGACGTGTCCAGCCACCCCCAGGACCCCCAGGGCCCAAGCTTGGAGTGGCTGAAGAACTTGTGAGCACCCCTGGTGACATGGAGGAGGCCCTTCCCCTGAGCCAATAAAATGTGAAAAGCAGCCCCCCCCAAAAAAAGTCCTTTAGGGGCGCCTGGGTGGCTCAGTCCATTAAGCGTCTGCCTTTGGCTCAGCTCATGATCCCAGGGTCCTGGGATCGAGTCCTGCGTCGGGCTCCCCGCTCAGCGGGGAGTCTGCTTCTCCCTCTGCCTCTGCCTGCCACTCTGCCTACTTGTTCTCTCTCTATATCTCTGTCAAATAAATAAATAAAATCTTTAAAAAAAAAAGTCCTTTAAATAAAAAGCAGGGTCTACGCCCTCCTAACAACTTACATCCTGCAGGAGAGAGAAAGACACTAAACAAATTAATGTATAATATGCAAAGAGATGATAAATGCTGGGGGTGGGGGGGTGGGGCGGGAAAGAAAGTTTTAAATGCTGCTGGGCCAATTAGAAAGAGAACTTAGTAATAAAACATTGAATTTAGTAATTATAAGATCATAGGTGACACAGTGTGGATATTTTCACTCTAGAAGCTTGGTTAGAAACAGATGGCAATGGCTTAAGGAAAAAACAAATTAAAAACATAGATATACACACATAGTATTACTTATATATTCTTCTCAATCTCAAACTATGGTCATCTGTTTCTATTACATAAATTTATAAAATGTACATATTTTATATTTTTTATATATATACATAGTTTCAAGAAGTTTGGTGAGGAAATGAAAGGAGATGGGAAGTAGCTAAAAATGTAAGAAGGACCAAGGAAAGATTTTGTTGTTGATGGTGGTGGTGCTGGGGTTGAGGAGTGAGATTAATTTATCTGCTTGACACTTGGGGGAAAGAGCTAGACTGAAATGAAGATAAATACATGGAGAGATCTCTGAAGGCTTCTCTGCTTTATTTATTTTATTTTATTTTTTTAAAAGATTTTATTTATTTGACAGAGAGAGAGAAAGCAGAGAGAGAGCGTGCACACGAGTGGTGGGAAGGGGGCAGAGGGAGAGGGAGAAGCAGACTTCCTTCTGAGCAGGGAGCCTGACACGACAAGGGGCTCCATCCTAGGACCCTAAGATCATGACCTGAGGAGCCAAAGGCAGATGCTTAACTGACTGAGCCACCCAGGTGCCCCCTCTCTGCTTTATTTATGACTTAGGATACAGATAGAAATGATGGCCTTAGCGAGGACAGGTGGAGACACCCCGGTTCCTCAGAAATTGTCATGAAAGAGATAAAGGTTTGTATTCTAATAGGTACCTTGGGGTGGAGGAGTAGAGAGGTAAATGGTGATCTGATGATCTGTATTTCACTTTGAAGAAAGAAGAGCTAAAGATAAAGGTGGAAGGATTGGAGGATGCAAGGGGTTTAAGAAAGTGGCTAAGGTTTGGAAGAGCAACCCTATGGAGTGTAGATGCTAGCTGACTAGGGACAAACAGAAGGGTTACTGACGATCACGGAGGGCTGTTGGGGTTAGCCACTGTAAATTGAATGATACCAGTCTGAACTGCTGAGCAGTTTTCTTTATGAGAGCTCAGTCACCTGGAACAGAATTCGAGGGAGATTCATCTGTGTGGGGACTGCCCAGGCTTGCTGTATTGGGAACAAAGGATGGAAAATAAATGGAGGGTTCTAATAAAAAAGTTATTCTTTTGATTAAAATGGGGCCTGGCTGGGCATGGAAAGGAGGTAAGGAAGATTGATGGTCTGGGAGGAGCGGGCATGGATTGGAAGATCGGGTAAAACTGCACAAGTGAAATGGAATTAAGAAAAGGGAAAGGATTTATGGATGTACTGAGATGCCATGTTGTAATGAAGGACAGCCATTCTTCAGTGGTGATTCCCAACTACAGTGTGGCCTTTATGAGTGCCCAAGTAAAGTGCAGAGACAGGTCTTGACAGAGAGGGTATCTAGGAACTGGGTGTTAGTCGGGCCATCCACCAAACACTGAACAAGCATGGTGTTGTGCATGACATTCATAAAGATGGGAGAGGTTAAGGGTGGGGGCTGAGTGGGAGAGGGTCAGTTTCCAAAAATGGTTCAGGAGTGCTGGCAGACAAAATGCTAGGTGCCTATTATAAGCAATGACTAGTTGTGTTTGTGATCCATTCAGGAAATTTGCTCAGTGTAGAAAGGTAAGGCAAACTTTAGACAAAATACCCAGTTTGGAGAAAAGTTATCTACTTATATTGAGATTGAGAATCATATGGTCAAAGTCATGGTATTATTAATAATAAGGGCAGATCATTTGGTTTCTACACTTAATGTTATTTTATTATAAAATCTTATGTTTTATACTAAAATCACATTTCATTGGTGGCTTACTTTTTAATTCTCCTGTTGGTATAAATAGTTCAGCCCTGAAAAAATCACTCGGATTTCAAGTAGTATGTTGAGTACAAATTATTTTGAGATAGTGCCAAGGTATGTCTTATTTATTTATTTTTACTTACTATAGGAAAGATTCTATAACATAGTTAGATTTATCACTTCTATTTGGCAATTTTCTTTTTTTTTCTTACTAAAAATCTATGAAATTATATGGGGTATTAGAGAAGGAATGATAACCTTTTGCAAATCTTGGTGATAAGTAGAAAGATAACTGGATTCTGGATTGAATTTTCTAATGAACTCCAAACTTGTCTTCTTCTCTCTCTCTTCATCTCCCTTCATGGCCATTATGTCTTCCTTCATTCACAAAATGGTAATCATTTGCTCCTAATAGTTCTGTCCTTCTTCAGTTAATTCTGGATTTTTGCTACTGGAATAATTTTTCTATATGGCTAGATGGCTCCTATTACCTACAAAATAAAATGTATACTCCTTTGATTGATATCCAAAGCTCTTGATGATCTACTCCTGCCTGACTTCAAACCTGGTCTCTTGACATGCCACACTTTTAGAATTATTTGCAGGTCCTCACACCTGCTGGGTTCTCTCATGCCTCTGTGTCTTTGCATATGCACCCCTCCTCATGCATCATGCTCAAGCCCCTTCTTGTTAACTTGGTTGATTTCTCTTTTTTCCTTTACCTCCAAGTTCAAGCATTACCTCCCCTTTGACACTTTTCCTGACTCCCTCCTGTCAGATGTTGTCGTCCCTCCAGCTCCCACTGTGTCTATTTGCAACAAAGAATGTACAGCAGGGTGCTTGGGAACTGACAGCCATACAGCATTATGGAAAAGAATCCAAAATTTAATGCCAGCACAAACATTGTTCTTATTGGCCTGGAATGTGATAAATGTTTCCATCCTTGTTCCTAAATAACCAGCATTAATACATAATTAAATTTTTTAAGGGGCCATATTTAAATCTTTAACAGTTTGCAGGTGCAAGCTTGTCGTGGGTGGTGGTGATGGTGGTGGTGGTGTGTATGTGTGGGGGGGGGATTGTTAATTGCAAGCACAGAAATTCTTGTTACAGAAATTGGAATGGTTTACAAAATAATCATTTTGTGGGATCAGTTAAACAGCTTCCTTTTTGTTAATTCTCCAATGAAATGCCAAGTAAAAATATTGAACAGAATGCCACTATTCCTTCATTGCCCCTTTCATTTCATTAACTTGTGAGTCTTCCCTCACTTATTTTATTATGGAAAATCTCTTCCCTAGTAGACTCCGGAAGGACAGTACCTTATTGCCCAATTAAAGCATGAATGAGGAAGAGTGATCAATCTATGAGCACATAATTTAATCTACTTTGTTGGTTAATTTTATTTTTATGAGGCATAAATATTACAGTTTTGTGGCTTTTGAATTAACTGCATGAAACTGCCTCATGATTTATAATTTGTAAAGGGAATTGTCCCAAACAAAAATGGTGACTCTTGCAAATTGGAAATTGCATGTTATCAGGAACACAAATGATTAAATACATTTTTAAAAAGATTTATTTGAGAGAGAGAGAATGAGAGAAAGAGAGCGTGGGAGGGGAGTGGGTCAGAGGGAGAAGCAGACTCCCCGCTGAGCAGGGAGCCCAATGCTGCAGGACTCGATCCTGGGACTCCAGGATCTTGATCTGAGCCGAAGACAGTCGCTTAACCAATTGAGCCACTGAGGCGCCCTGATTAAATGCATTATAAATTACCCCATCTCACCTTTGCTGTATGATTGGAATAACATGAGAGAGTTGGTTTTCCTACATTAGCACTAAACTTTTATGGTTTCAGACTGATCACAAATCCCAAATTTCTCAAATGTAGAGAGTAATTTAGGAACACATGGGAAATCACAATTGATACATTTCATAAAAATTTCTGTAGGTGTAACACTGAATCTTGTTGAGGTGAATATTACATTTGGATTTTTGAAAATCGAATTCCATTTGAATACTTTCCCAATGCCTCTCTCTTCCAATTGTGTGGATGATTTCATTGTTTAAAAAAATAAGTATAATGCATCCTAGGGTTTTGGAGAATTATACATTATACACTGGAGAAACCCATGAATAGAAAAATCAAAAGATTTCTAATGACAAGACTTATATTTCTGATGATAAGACTTATATAAAGAAATAAGCTTGCTCAGGAAATCATTTTTATTCCAAAATGGAATTGAAATGATTTACAAAAACATATATGCTTAATGCAATAGGAATAGAAAATGAGCACCTGGCTGTACATTCTTTGTTGCAAGTAGACACGGTGGGAGCTGGAGGGAAAACAACATCTGACAGGAGGGAGTCAGGAAGAGTGTCAAAGGGGAGGTAATGCTTGAACCAGAAAAGAGAGAGAGTTAAATATGTTTTGATTTCATGAGGTGTTACCTGGTTGGTTTCGAGCTTCCTTGGAGCCTGGGCAAAAAGGGAAATGTGATCTATTATAAGCCTTTGGATACTAGAAATGATGGAAATTGCATGTTTCACAAGGGAATCTTTCTTTGCACTAAATTTTGGAATTTCCTTGCCCTAAATTCTGGTAAAGAATTTCTTTTATCTTTGGTTTGTATGGGAGACACTGAGTGGCAAAGGCAGAAATAGATTTCACATTCTTGTATCTTAAAGTAAACTTTCATAAAAGTTTAGAGTGTAACTTTTAAGCAGAAAAGCAATTCTCTGATTTTTTTTTTTTTTTAATTCCCTGAAAGTAATTCTGTGAAGTGCAGAGTGATCAGGGTCTAAGAAATGCCTTCTGATTGGATAACTTTATCCAAGCATGAATCTTAGGCCATTAAGATTGTGACAAATGTATTTCTTAAACAAAATGCTCTTGCTATTTGTCTTCCCTATTTTCTTCTTGTTTCCTAACTTGTGCAGAGAGCCTCTATTAGTTGCAATTTTCTTAACAAGGATGGAGGGCAGGGGGCAGGCTG